AGGGCTTGTTGTGATGAGCCCTGAGTGATATATGGAATTGCTATCACTATATTGTACACCTGAAACTAACATAACACTGTATGTTAACTATACTGGAATAAAAAGAAAACAAAACAGAATCTCAACCATCCCAGCAATAGTCAAAGAAACAACAATGACAATAATAGTACCTCTTACAATGGAGGAAAATATGTAATGGTCATGCTGGCCAAGGCTATATATAGTAGGCATGCTCAAATATTCCTAGTGGCAGAATAAAAACTGTTGAAAATAAGTGTGATCATACTTACCAAGAGAAAAAAATACAAAAATAAAAATTGTTTTTCACTTGCTTCCAAATAGCTAATTGATAAGAAGACAACAGAGGAGTCCACTAAATTATTCCTTGTATTTAAGACATTTTTTAAGATAATTACAATTTTTTAAAATGTATATTGGAAATTTTTTCTTAGAATTTTAAAGAACCTGCTCTGTCTTTATAGTTGAGAAGTTAGTATCATTGTGATTCTTAATCTTTTATATAAATGAATGTTTTTGGTTTTGGCTTTATCTTTGTTCCCAGTCCTGAAATCTCATTGTGAGGTACCATGGTATAAAGTGTATTCTATCCATTGTGATGGGTACTTGATAGGCTTTTTCAGTCCCAAAGCTCATATCTTTCAGATCAGAGAAATTTATGTCTGAAACCTCTTTTATTTGGGGGGGGGGGGGGCATATACTGGTTTGTTTATTTAATATGGAAGCAGTTTCTTTAGAGGAAATAAACCCTCTCCCCCTACCCCACTACCCTTAGATGCCTTTTTTTTCCTCCCCAATGTCTGCTAATATTTGACTCTCTGCTCAAACTCTAGACCTGGAGAACTTAAAGAGCTGGCAGGAAGTTCTGAATGCCTAGGTAGGGTTCATTGACTGTGATCTAGCTGAGACCCTTCTCTGGGGAAATCCCAGGATTCACCAGAGAAGAGTCTCTTTGCTCAAACTTCCAAAGATTCCTGGTGCTTCTGTTTCCTTGGCAAATCTCAAAAGTACTTCCATTTACATTCAGTGGCTTTAAAACCTATCTCTAATTTCACCTAGGAAAATAATACTTTTTAAATCTTTTTCATGACATGAGTGTGTTAGTGACATTTCACAAAGATATATTTTGTTGCTTTATAACAATGTTCCAACAGTCTTTGACAAAAAGTTAGAAAAGACAAGGGGCCACAGAAGGGTATGCTAAAGTACCTATGTGTACTTTTCAAGACAGACAGTGAGTACGTAGCTTTTCTCAGATTCCTGATCCCATGACTGACCCAAAAAGGATAGCAAGCAAAGCCAACCAAACAAAACATTGCCTATTGAGTAGTGGTCCTTATCCTGGGATGTGCATCAGAATTATTCCAGTCTTTTGGAGATGAACGCTCCTAAACCAGGAGGAAGTTTCAGGAGGAGGCATTTTAGTGGACTGCTTCTCGTGTCCCCTCTGTCAGCATATACACTAAACAGATGCTGCTTGTTTCAACCACCATGTGGTAGAATTGGCTCAGAACAACTTGGTTGTACTACTGAAATGGTGTCCATTTCTACACATACACACATAGGCAGTTGTTCATGGGTTAGAAGGACTTTTATTGTTTATAATTAAGAGTTCCATTTCATGTAAATCATCTCCTGACTCAGCTGCATTTGGTTTGAACAGAAGATCTACCACAGTGATTCTCAAACTGAGGTATCAAGATCTTCTGAAATGCTTGTAAATAAAAGCTTTATTTTCAGGATTTTGATTCCTTGGATCCGGGGAGAGATTCTACATTTTTAATATTCATCCTTGGTTATCCTGATGTGGATGATCAGTGGACCATATTTTGAGATTTGCTAATCTAACTTGTTACCAATAATAATATCCATGAGAGGTTTTTTGGGGGGAAATAAGGTTGAGAAGATTAATAGTCTGATTTTTGTTGTTGTTTAAGTATAATTAGCTTCAAAAGTCTTGTGATAAGGATCAGCATTACAGCTCTTAGATCCAGACACCCAAGATTTTATACTTTAGAGGGCCCAGCTCTGGCCTTCCTCCAGCCAAACCTCTCTTCACAGGATGAGGATTCCCCCAGGACATCTGTCTGTTCAGCCCCTTACAGACTACATTATGGGTTCTCAGTACCCTGGAATTCCTTGCCCAGATGTACACTATCAGGGCCTATATGGGCCTTGTCCCTCTCAGAATCAGCGTGCCCACTCCTAGGTCCAGGAGATAACAGGGATAGCTTCAGTTTTACCAGATAGTTCCTTACCTTCACCTTTTTCTTCTCTCCAAAATTCCTTTAATGCTGCTGCTATTTTTTATTAGCAGTTCTCAAGTAAAGAGGCTTTAAGTGCATCCCCTTTGCCATTGAGGAAATAACCCTTCAACCTAGAGTTAGTTTTATATAATATTTGAGGTCACTTATTACATCTGATATGAGGCTGCAGTTTTTTAAATGCAATAAATTTTGTTAGAGCTAAAGCTTTCCAAACAATTGGGAAGTTGTGGTTTCCCTGTCACACTCCTTTTGTAACAGCCAGGGAAAAGGAAGACACGTGTTCCATATTATTTCTTCAAAAGGGTCTGGGAAAAAAGAAAGGAAGAGATTAACTGACTTAATTTAACACTTGGAGCTATAAATCATGTGTTGCAATATGGTGATAGGATATTGCATCAGAACGTGGCAGTTGTAGTAATGCAGTGGGTATCACAATTAAGGGGAGGTTTTCGTGGTGCTTTGTGCCCTTTTCCTAAAAACTTAGGTCCTTTCTGCTCTGCAAGGGGAAAAGGTGTTACTTAAATGACACTGTACTTCTCTGTAATTTCAGTGCCTTGACCTAGGGCATAGGACTTCCTTTATGGTCGAAGATTTGCCTGAGGCAGGCATTGCTGTACCGAGTCCCTCTTGTTTCCCATTGTTGTTCACACACCAGCAGGGAAGTGCTGAGGTTTCTTCATTTCTTCCTGGAAGTCTGTCGGGAAAGCTGAGAGGTGTTATGGCAAGGCTGTAATGTCTTTACTCTCAGAACCGTTAGTTTTGAAAGTATATGTAACATTTCCTGAATATTTCACATAGGCTTTATCTTAAGATTTGAAAGATAGTGAGTGACCAGGAATTTGTCCCTGAGAAACAAAGTTGAAGTTTAATAGTAATCATAAGGGTAGAAGGCAGGGGATATATTTCAGCAAAAATTCTTACAAGTCAAGGTAGATTTTGGTAATTAGTTTTTTTCTCTTAATGTTTTAGTTTTGTTTTTAACTCTTCTGCTCTGTTATAGGAGAAAATGCACGATGTGGGGAGAAATTAAACAACTGACAATATCAACATTAGATTTCATATTTAAAACCTAAGCTCTTGAGAATAGGGCTGATTCTCAAGTATGTAGTAATAGAAATGGTAGGATCTATGGTTTTGGGTTTGAGAATTTGTGAGAACTTGGGCAAAGAAGTGGGGGAGATGATAGAAGGAAATCACCTCTAATCCTGATAATGCTGGTTTTGGAGAATGTGGTTTAGACAAATGACGACAATGGGTTTTTCATTGCTGAACTCCAGAGTTAGACTTGCCCACCCAGTAACGGGTGGCATATAATATCCACAGCCCTTCCCACGTGAAGGTCTGGCTGTGTAAAACTCCTGGGAAAGCCAACACTTGGCTCTGAAAGGTGGAAAGAGAAGAGAAATAGGTGAGCAATACAGGTCATTCCTTCCCCTCTTCCCTTATGAGAGAAGTTGCTCCTTCTCCCTGAGGAGGAGTAGGGGAGAGAAGGCAAAAGCATATACTATTGGCATTCTTCTCATGCAGAGAGAAATCTCATAGTGGGGAGAAGCATTCCTGCCCTGAGTAAGTCTTTGATGGTGTTTGGGATGTTATAATAGGATGGAGACACAGAGTGCTCGCTTCGGCAGCACATTTACTAAAATTGGAACGATACAGAGAAGATTAGCATGGCCCCTGCGCAAGGATGACACGCAAATTCGTGAAGCGTTCCATATTTTTCATGGAAAGAGCCTAAGTGTCCATCAACGGACGAATGGATCCAGAAGATGTGGTTTATCTATACCATGGAATACTACATGGCAATGAGAAACAATGCAATCTGGCCATGTGTAGCAACATGGATGGACCTTGAGGGTGTTATGCTGAGCGAAATAAGTCAGGCAGAGAAGGACAAATATCATATGTTTGCACGTATAGGAGGATTAGGAGGAACTTAACAGAGGACCAAGGGGGAGAAGAAGGGCGGAAATGGTGGGGGAAAGGGAGAGAGGCAAACCATGAGAGACTCTTGAATGCTGACAAAAACTGAGGACTGATGGATGTGGGGGGGGAGGAGGGATGGGCATGGAGGAGGACACTTGTGGGGATGAGCACTGAGTGTTATGTGGAAACTAATTTGACAATAAACTATTTGAAAAAAAATAAAATGCACTCCATCAAGTGAAAAATAAAATAAAATATGTACTCTTTCAAAAAAAAAAAAAGGATGGAGACACAGAGCAAATTTTCATCTTTTGTAACAGAATTATGGAGTCACACTCTCAAGACCATGTGTGTGATAGTTCAGAGTATGGTTTTTTAAGTCCATATCTTCTAGAGATTCATGCTGAAATATTTACAAGTTAACTGATAGAATGTCTGGGATTTACCTCAGAATAATCCAGGGACAGTAGAGGTATAACGTAACAAGATCGTCCGTGAGGTGTTAGTTGTTGAAATGTGTCCTTAGCAGCTTATCCTACCTGAGTTTACATTACCTGATCTCTAAAATGAAGATGATAAAATCTATCACATGGGACTGTTGTGTTAATTCAATTAAAATAATAAGTTATATGGCCATTATGTAACACATGAGGTACTCAAAAATTAGTACTATTTGATCTATAAATGGGGGGAAAATCAAGGTATCCTCTCTCTTAAACATGAAACATTTGCTTTCTTGGTGTTGTGTTTCCCCAATTGAGTATATTAACTTGGATTTTGTTTTGACAGCTCAGGTGCCTAAAAGGTCAGAGGGTCTTCTCAGGCCAGCCTCCTTTTGATGGAATCCACATTGTCAACCATTTAATAGGAGATGACGAATCATTCCATTCCTCTGATGAAGATTTTATAGATAATTCCTTACAGGAGAGTGGTGTTGGTTTTCCTTTGCACAGAAAATCTGGCCCAACGTCTTTGGACACCACTGTGGCAGATGGTAGTGAAAGCGAAACAGAAGACAGTGTGCTGGAGACCAGAGACAGCAACCATATGGCTCGAAAGGAGCAGCCCCCAAGAAGAGAGTCATACTCAACCACTGTCTGACCATCACTGTGAACTAGACTGTGGAGTTTTTTAAGGGATCAGTTATCATATGATTAAGGGTTTTTGGAACATATCAGTTTCACATGTACATACATATATACATATTTACATACATATATACACATATATATATATATATTTTGCTGTCTTCCTTTTTATCTTTGCCAAATCTTCACCACTGACTTACCATTGCCATAAAGTAGACTTGAATATGGTTAATGGGAAAAAGATTCTAACAGTATTACTGAATATTAATGTTTCTTGTTTAGAAATGTAATTATGTCTATATGTGGGAAGCATTTTCAAGTTTAGAATGATGGAAAATTGAATTTTCTTCAGACAAAACTGCTCTTGTGCAATATTTCAAGCTCATTCAACAAACTGAATATTTACGTTTATCAATTTGTTTTTATAGCAGCTATCTACAAATATTTGACCAAGATATACATCTAACTTATCTTGTGTTTTTGTGTTGAGGGAATTTTTTTTCTAGTTAAAATTACTGTTTTAGTAGTAGGCCACTGAAAGCTTCCAGCCACAAAGCCTTTTTTCCATGTAATTTTACAAACACAAATTAATGGTCATCTGTCTTGAGAGTTTTAAGTTTTGTTTTAATTTCTAACTTTTATGTGCATATAATACTTCCAGGTCGTTGCCTGCTGGTCAGAGGAGTAGGTTAACTATAAGTAAATTGTGTTTTTGTCCATATTTATAAATCACCCAACACTGAACATCATTTTATATGGAGAATGTATGTGTTGCAAAATGACTGCCTTTCAGCATTCTAACAGGACTTCTGTAAATAATAGTTTAAAAGAAAATTGAAAATGAAACCAAACACTAATATTTTAATAGCTTTAGTATTTTGCTTAGCGTTCAACACTAGCAGATTCATAAGTTAACTAATGCTTGTTCAAAAACACTATTGGCGATATATTTTACTTCATGTGTATATAACTAATAAATTTTTCATGATGAAAGAGGTTATAGCACGTATTACTTAGTGCTAATATCTACTTAATGTATTTAAGCAATGGACTGATGTCCAAGATACACAAAAATTATATCTGCAAATAATCTACAAGCATTATCTTCAGATTCTCTAGTTACTAATCATAGATAAAGCCATAAGAATTCTTTCCTACCAGTTCTTCCTTTTTATCATCTAGACTTTTTTTCCTAGAAGTCTGAATGCCTGTCGTTGATAAATTGGTGGAAATACCAAATTACACTTAGATTGTGTAAAAATAACAAGAATGTGTTGACTGGATGCTTTCCACTCTCATTTTCATCAGCAGCCTATGGAAAAAACAATAGCCTTCAAGGATAAGAGGAAAGTAGAATTCTGTATATATGGAGATACAACTTTGCACAATACATTGCATGCAGGAAAAAAAATGTATATGACAGAATGGATTCAAAGAGACAAAATAGTTTTTTATCTAAACATAGGAGTTAAGCCTTATGGCATATCACAGATTAGGCTTTTCCAGAAAGTCTTTTGCTTGGGAAACAAGATTGAAAATATGCCTGTTTTGTCCATATTTCCAGACTAAATTCTAGTGATTCATTTATCTATGGTCACAAATTCGTAAGTAGCAGAGCTAAAATGTTAATTGGTATCTCTGACACCAAACTGAAAAGACCCAGCTAATGAGTTTCTCAATTCTCTACTTTTCTGACAATGTGATTGAAATGTTTCCTGAATATATTATAGATCTATATCTATGTATAGATACTAGTACCAACATTCATAAACTCTACACAGCTTATGAGTGTAGATACTGTTACTAGAATCGTCTGACTGGTGCTTTTGGGATTCTCTTTTGGGGTTCATTACTGTTAGCCTAGATGCTGTTGATGCCCATCAACAGGTAAAATGAGATGAGTCATGGCTACATGATTGTTTTGACCCCCACATCAAGAAATCTAAATGATCTAGACCAAGGGTCAGCAACTACAGCCCATGAGCCTATTCAAGCCAGCTTCCTGTTTTTACATGACCTACAAAGTAAGAGTGGTTTTTAATTTTTAAATACTTGGGGGGGGTAAATTTTAAAAACAATAATGTGTCACATGAAAATATATAAAATTGTGTCAATATATAAAATTTCTTGGAGCCTCCCCCCTGGCTTATCCATTTACATATGGTCTATGGCTGCTTTTGTGCTATCATGGCAGACTTGAGTAGTTAAAACAGAGACCATATAGCACAAACAGCCTAAAATAGCTGCTATCTGGCACTGTAGAGAAAACGTTTGTGGACCTTTGGTTTACATAATCTAAAATGTAGGTTTACTTCTTAAGTTTGTCTTCATAGAAGATTGAACTCTTTGCTTTTACTGTTGAACTAATGGTTTGGAAGCCTAAGATTTCCTAGTGGTTCTTAAACTGGTAACTATTCAAAATGGAAAATGTTCCAGCTGTTTTATGTCATGAAGTCTCGGATGCCAACGACAAATTTGGAAGGATGTCTGTACCTTTGGAAAGAAAGGGAAGAATTCCAGAATCCCAGCACTGTTCTTTGAAGCATGCATATTGAGGGGGTGCCTGAGTGGCTCAGTCGGTTAAGAGTGAAGCATGCATATTGACCTTTAGGGTTTGCCTCAGTGAGTCAATGTTATATTTTGACTTTAAAGTAAGGACCTCGTTCTAGAATCGCGTTTGAATTCTAAATTGGAAAGATATTTTCAGAGCATTTCTGAAGTACTATTTTCTGGTTAGGAATTAGGTTTTAAAAGAATCATGGTAAATAAACCTTAATCCATTGATAGTCTTATAATTTGGACAATGAAAAATAGAAACAACAATCCTCTCACGCAAGAGCTTTGATTCAAATACTGCTTAGAAGAGTTTAAAATCTTCCTGCTTTTTTGGATATAATAGGATACTATCCCCTGATTTGACATTCAGATTAAGACTTCTGAGGTATTGGAAAATGTTCTCTTGGTAGATTTTATTTAATCTCTGGTACTTTGTGTCATTTAAATGTTACTCAGTTAAACACCTAGAGTTGACTAATATTCGGGGAGGAAAAAGTGAGTAAAATAAATAACAAACTCACCCAGAGAAGTACTCTCTTAGGATAGCTACCTTCTTCATGTCGTTGCCATCTAGGTTGAAACACTAAAGGTAGAGGCTACAGGTGATCTGAATAAAGTGGAAACTGCAGTTGAGGTGATGAAACAGAACTTTTAGATCAAGCAAATATTTCCACAGCGTTTTAAAAATCATTGGTAAATTTCTCTTCCTGAAAAAAAGCAGTCAAAGGTAATACATGGCACAATTTCTACCCTGATGGATATTAGGTACTTAGCGTTTGATGATTAATTGAGACATCAAGTGTCAATTAACTGGCAGGCTGGTTTGGAAGAAGAAAAACAACTTTCTCTTAGCTCGAGCTTGCAGCTTGTTACTCTCCAGATAGTGCCTTTGAAAACAAAGTCTAGGCCTTTTAAAGTATTTTATTTCTAACATCGTAAGAAATGAACTGGTTCCATATTCTCCTTTATCTTTTACATAATACTTTATAATTTGCAGATTTAAAGTAAAGTATATGAATTGTGTTTTGGTAAAGCCCTTTCATGGCCAGCTTGATTATTGCGTACTACCAGACGTCAACAGCTAATGTTTTATGAAATCAGTGATTTATTTTATTAAAAGTGTGCTTTAGCCTGAAAGTTCTTGCTGCCCTATCATTAACAAAACAGAAAGTTTTTTAAACTAATTTTAATTTTAATTCATTCTCCTGAAATTAAAATTCCTGGTTAGAAGTGGAGTGGATGCTATTTATAATCCAACTTTTTACATTACTTTCATTGATCTTCCTATCCTTTCTTTTCACTCCAAAGAAAAGATGATAGAATAATGCATTAGATACACTATACAGATGCACAATTATAATGTTTTTCATTTTACTGTTGGAATTTCTTATAACATTGTATGATAACCTGAAATGTTTACTTGTGCCTTTGCTTTAAACAGTTATTAAAGTTTTTCATTTTGTAAGAATTTCTGTTTCCTTAAACTATTCAACCTAAAAGGGGAGAGGTGTGAAAACACCGTTAAAAAATGCTTGGCCTTATATCACATATTCATTAGTGAGGTTTGTGCTCTATAGGTACAGGGACCGTATTCACCTGGCCCACCCACGTATAATTAGTGCCAAACAGAGAGCCTGGTACATGGCATTTTTCAATTTAATGAAAGACAAGATATCTAGATTAGTTATTTCCTTTGAGGAACATGCCAACTTTTTGAAAATATTAATAGTGATATTTTCATCTCACACTGCATTTTAGGTGATTAGCAACTAAGTCAATAAATATATTCAGATATCTAATTTGAATGTGCTATTGTGAGAAAGTTACGCTTTCTGCATCTTTATAACAATGTTAATATCATTTAGTTCAGAAGCAGTAGTTCACTATATATTCTGCTTTATTCCTAAAGGATTTAAGAGACTATATAAAGGTGTATGAAATATAACAAGATAGTCCTAATCCAGAGTCTGTTCACCTTGGCACTATTGACTTTTGAGACCAAACTGTGGCAGAGACTGTCCTGTATTGTACGTCGTAGGGATGTTTGGTAGCATCCTTGGCTTCTACCCACTGGATGCCAGTAACCACCCCTCCTTCAGTTGTGACGACCCAAAAGGTCTCAAGTTGTTGCCGATGTGCCCAGTAAGGAGGAGTGAGAATGGAAATCACCCCTGGTTGAGAATATGTGGTATAAATTTAGAAGGGGGTCAAAAAAACAATCACTAGGGCCAAAACTAAAAATATATACATTTATTGAAGATAGATTGCAAATTTTGACTCTTTTTAGTAGTATGAAAAGTAACACCTGACCCATGATAAGTGCCAGTTCACACTTACTAGGATGGCAATTAAAAAAGAAAGAGTTGGCAAGGATATGGAAAAATTGGAACTCCTGCATTGTTGGGAATGTAAAGTGGTACAGCCATTGTGAAAGTTCTGGCAGTTCCTCAAAAAAGTTAAACAGAATTATTTGATTCAACAATTCCATGTCTAGATGTATACTCAAAAGAGATTCAGACAGATATTTGTACACCAATGTGTTCATAACAGTATTATAATAGCCAAAAGGTAGAAACAACACGACCATTATTTTTTTAGAGAGAGAGAAAGAGTGTGTGTGTGTGTGTGTGTTTGAGCTGGAGATAGGGGCAGAGGGAGAGAGAAAATCTCAAGCAGGCTCTACACTCAGGACCGTTATAAACAGATGAAAGAGTAAAATGCAGCATACATACAATGGAATATTACTCAACTATTAAAAATGAAATTCTAATACATACTATAATATGGATCAACCTTGAAAATATGCTAAGTAAAATAACCTCAACACATCCTATGGTTCCACTGATAGGAAGTACCTAGAATAGCAAATTCAAAGAGACAGAAATAGAGTAGATGTTATAAGGGGATAGGGATGTAGGAGAAAGGGGACTTAATGTTGAATAGATACAGACCTTTTTGGGGTGATGAAAAAGTTCCAAAAATGGATAGTAGCAATGGTTTCACAACACAGAATGTAGATAGTGCTACTGAGTTGTACCCTTAAAAATTGTTAAAATGGTAAAAAAAAAAAAAATTAGGCATGTTAATAAAGGCAGCTTATAATTAAATATGTTCAAATAAAGATATATCAAAGGAGAAAGAAACCAAAACTTTATTATAGTTATAAAACTACTGAAAAAAAATTTTAGATACAGATTTCTAACTATCGCAACTCAAGTTTGTGTTCATGAAACCTGACAAATCACAGAATTCTATGGCCGCCTTGCTGCTCCTTGAACACCGTACTCCCATCCAGAGGCTTCTCCTTCCTGGAATGGTGTTTGGTCGCGTTCCCACAAGGCCACCCCCCCACCGCCTCCTGGTTTCTGCTGAGATATCACCTGCACAGGAGGCCTTACCTGACCGTTGCTTTTTAACTTTTTAACATCCCATCGTCTTCCCAGGTTTATTTTTCTCCATAGCATTGGCAACTACCTGACATTCTATACAATTTACATTTTCATTTGTTCTCGTCTACCCACACTAGAATAAAAACTTTATGATTTTTATCTCTATCCCCAGTTATTCAGAGTAGTGCCTTGGCTCACAATAAATATTTGTTGAATGAATGAGCAAGTAGTTGAGTAAATCGCTATACTTCAGTTTGGTTACTGTTTAAATGGGGTAAACAACAGCTTTGGAAATATAATTATCAGTGGAAAATCCAGAATCCCAGTGCAGCCAGCCTAGCTCCAAAGACCTCTAATTACTGAATACTGCTTTGGCACAAGACATCGAGCAGGCACTGATGAGAAGGCCAAAGAGGAACCAGACCTCCTGTCTCCACGCGTGGAATGAGAGATAGTAAGTGTACAGATATAACGTCATGGAAATTCAAAGTTTATGTCCAGCATGGGGAAATGGTCTCCTTTGACCCCTTCTCCTGCTCCCTGCCCACCCAGAAGCCCCATGTTGCACCAGGGCAGGGACTATGTCCCCTGTCACAACTGCCTGGTGTGCCCCAGTCTCCTATCCAATGACCTGCTCGTACATCGGTGCTAATATCTCCTGATTTGAGTGTGTGGCCATATCTCTCCTGCACTCGAGATTTCACCAGCAGTATCCAGAAATGAAGCATATTCAACCAGTGTGTGGGATTTCAGGCCCAAAGAACCATTCTAAATCCTCCTGAATTGACTCCCAGAAGGTAGCCGCTACTGTGTCCGTCTAAGATCTGTCACTCAGGCTGGCCGGCTTTTCAGAGACCGTGAGGGATCTTCTCTGAGGCTGTCCTCAGAAACAGGAGAGATCAGGGCCAGGTGGAAAGAAACTAGTTGGCTTTAAAGATGTTTCTCTAATTTTTTTTTTAAAGGAAATGCATACTGTACACATGAGAGACTCCAAGGCGGAGAGATGCTGTGGCAGTTGAGATGCACCTGGGAGCCCCTAACTGTTCCCTGCCTCTGCCTCATGGGGTGGGACGGCAGCCACTGCACACAGCCCTGCACAGCAGACGGGAGCAGAGCAGTCAGCTCACCGTGCCTTGAGCCTGGTGTCTCCTGCCCGGCCAGGGGCTCTTCTTCTTCTGGCAGAGGCTCTTCTGGTCTCTGGTGTCACCTCTGCCCTCCCACCCCAGGACTGGACTAGGTGCCCCTCTTGGTGTTTGCTGTACATCTCCCTTGAGGCACTCTGCCCAACCACCATGTGGCTGACTCTTCCCCGTGGGTAGAAGGGACAGCATCTATATTCCCCATCGTCCTGCATTGTCACATCTGTTTTATATGCCTCAAGGTCCAGCTTCTGCCTCTGTTCCCTTCACCAGAGCACAGGTCTGGACCAACTATGCTCCATTTACAGAGTTTAAAACTTTTGGTGCATAAGTAAATGTTCATCTCTGTGGCCTCCTTACTACCTACCAGATAAGCCTCTGGTCAGGCTTAGGCTGCTCAGCTTAAAGGCGTCTCTGAGCCATGTCTCTCCCCTGCCTGCTCAGCCTGGCTGAGCTCCTGCCAGTGCAAACTGCCAGGTGAGGAGGTGGAAAACCAAACAGTGGGGAGTCATGATGTGAAGCATAAGTGTATAAATATGAAGAAAAATGTCATGCATTTCTACCCAGATACAGTCTAGCTCTGCCCTTTCCTGGCAAACTATCTTCCAGTTGTGCTCTTTGGAGGGGTGTTCCCGGCGGGCAGCAGCCCGGGCCAATGCTGGGATTTGAGTAATCACAGGCCCAAGTGGGGCGTGTGGGAAGGTGTGCTGTTTGGTCTGGCTCACAGCCCTTGACACTCTGTAGCTATTTTAAACGGATCCCACAGCCTTTCATTTGCTTCACTAATTTCTCTAAAATAGAATTGTCTATTTGTGGGTCAAAATTGGAGAAGCATCTTGTTCATCACCAAACTGCTCTCTGGTGAGACTGGAGACAACACATGTGCCAAAGCCCAAAAGGACTGGGCACATAGCAATTCAGTGTGCTCAATCAATGTTAGCGAAGTGAGAAATTGTGCATTGCATCTCTCTCTGAATACCCAGAACCAGTCGATACAGGCCACTCAGAAAATAGTTTTTGATTTGAAGTGCTGGCCTGACAATCTCTATTTCCTAATTTCTGCCAGTGGTGGTAATGAGTTGTTATTCTTTTTGTTGTTGTTATTGTTGTTTTTATCACATACCCTAAAATCGCAGTGGCTTATAACATCTTTTCTCACTCAGGCTACATGACCATCAGAAGTTACCCACTGCTCTGCTCTACACTGTTTTTATGCTAGGACCCAGGCTGGTGAAGCCACTTTTATTTTGCACATTGCTGATTGTTACGGCAAAGGGAAAAGTGGTATGGGGAACAACATGCTGGTTCCCCAAACTTTGGCTAGGAAGTGATCTACCTCACTTCCAGCCATAGTTCATTAGCTAAGGTAAGTCACATGATTCAGACTCCCCCAGAGAGAAGTAAATATTTGGAAACATGGTACTTACTGTGTTAACTATTCTAACTACATTTTTTTTTAAATGGTGGCTTTATTATGATATAATTCACACGCCAAAAAATTTGGCTTTCTGGAGTATACGATTACATAATTTTTAGTATATGCACAGTTATTTAACCCTCATCACTAATGACAGTGGCTCACATCAATTTCAGAATATTCACATCAATTTCAGAATATTTTCATCACCCCCAAAAAGAAACTCCACACTCCTTAGTGGTCATTCTCTATTCTTGCCTTCTCTCAGTCCCTACTATTAGTAGGCAGTTACTAGTCTACTTTGTTTCTATAGATTTGTCTGTTTGAGACATTTCACATAGATGGAATTATACAATAGATGACTTTTTGTGTGAGATTCACTTAGCATGTTTTTGAGACTCACTCATATTGTAGCATGTGTTAGTGTCTCATTCCCAGTTTTCCCCCAAATAATAGTCCAGTATGTGGTATACCATATTTTGTTTATCTATTCATCATTTGATAAACATTTGGATT